CCCCGTATTTGCGTTCCCTCCACTGGACAGCTACGTGTCCGAGCAGTAGCAGAGTTTCATGACCAGGCAGCTGCCGGTCATATGGGCTTCCACAAGACGTTGGCTCGTGTGAGCCGCCTGTACATCTGGCCGAAGCGCAAGGACTTTGTGAAGGACTACGTCGCAGAGTGTCCCACCTGTCAGGAGGTGAACAGTGCGAACCACCTGCCTTATGGTTTGCTCCAGCCTCTTCCTATCCCTGAGGGTCGTTGGCAGTCGATCTCGATGGACTTTATCGGTCCTCTTTGTCCTCCGACCCCTCGCGGTCATGATGCTATCCTGGTCGTCGTCGACCGCTTCACGAAGCGTGCACGCTTTGTTCCGTGCCGCTATGCCATCAGTGCACGTGAGGTTGTCGACATCGTGTTTGACCGAGTCGTGCGTGACCACGGCTTACCTCTGAGCATCATATCTGACCGTGACCCGCACTTTGCCAGCCGATTCTGGCGACAGCTCCAGGAGGTATACGACACTCAACTCCGCTTCTCCTCGTCTTACCATCCTCAGACTGATGGTAAGACCGAGATCACGAATAGGACTCTCGGAGATATTCTTCGAAACATTGTTCGTGACGACCAACAGTGGGATCTTCATCTTGCCCACGCGGAGATAGCCTACAACCACGCCGTCTCGCCAGCCACGGGGATGTCACCTTGCTATTGCGACCTCGGCTATCACCCTCGTGTTCACGCGGACTTCCTTCGACCGTCCCAGCTGCACCCCGACACGAGTTGTCCCGCGCTGGACGATTGGGTTGCACACATGACGTCGATCATGAAGATCGCACATGAGCACATAGCCGCTTCCCAGACTCGCATGGCAGCACGTGCGAACCGATCGAGGATGGATCATCCATTCAAAGTTGGTGATGATGTGCTTATCGACGCCCGCCACTTACAGCTCGAAGCGGACACGCTTCGCAAGTTTCGGCGTCGCTTCTTTGGCCCATGCCGCATCCTCCAGGCCGTCGGTTCTGATACGGCATCTAGCCCGGTCAGCTTCCGTGTGAAGTTGCCCGACTACCTACGCCAGACTCATGTGCACAATGTCTACCACGTCTCGTCACTGCGTCCTTACCGTAGACCGTCTGAGCGTTTCGCTGGACGACCATGCGAGCGCCCTCCACCCATCATGGTGGACGGCCACGAGGAGTTCCTCGTTTCAGACATCATTGGTCGCCGAGTCACCGACGACAACCCTCCCCACGTCGAGTATCTCGTACGTTGGAAGGGTTACCCTGATGAGGAGGCTACCTGGGAGCCCCTCGAGCACTTGCAGCACGCTCGCATGTTGGTGCGTGTCTATGACCGTGCTCGTCGTGCTGGGTTCACTGCTCCTCCTCAGCCCACTGACCCTTCTTCTTCTCCTCCGGCTGAGGAGACCACTGAAGTCGAGCCTGCTCCATCCGAGGCAGCCCTTCAGCAGCAGTTGGATGCTTCTGAGCGTCCACAGCGCACTCGTCGTCGTCCTGCTCGATACGACAATTGACTCTGACTTACCTTCCCACGTCTTCGACTTCTCAGTACTCCATCCACATCAGTTTTGCTACTTCAGCTCATCAACGCTGCGACTCTTCCTCGACGACATTCCGGACTTCTCATCGTGGACGTCATCGACAGCTTCATGGACTTCATCACGATCAGCTTTGCCTACTTCAGACGTCGCCTCTCTCTCACCACTCTACCCTATACAGTACCCTGCTTGTGTCGCATGATGGTCTCCCTTTAGCCGGGTTCCTTTGAGTTGGGTGCTCCCTTGGTATACGCATAGGCATCGGGACCGTAGCGTTGCCCTGGCTTCCCATCTTACGGATCTAGCTCCAACTTCCCTCACTTTAGGAGTCGTTTGCATGATTCCTTTACCCATCATTTTTCTACCCTTCGCCGGCCCTCACGCCCTAGTTAGGCAGCCCCGCATGCTTCATCTAGGTACGCCCAATATACCAGGCTCCCTTATTCCCATGGTCGACCCTCCATAGCGGTCACCCCTTAGTCGAGCATTACCCGCCCTGATGGTCTATCTGTTAGGGTCATTGGTTCTGTTCGCTCTCAGTTCCCTACCCTCATTGAGCCTGATGACATGTGTCTCCCTGTTATCTATGTGTGGATGCGCTTAGGAGTTTTCGACCCCTAGGCCACATTCGCCACCCTCAGAGACCATCCCACCCTTTGGTTTGCGACACACTTCTCATGTGACATATGATTGACTTGTTGTTGCTTTGTTACTCTCAGACTGAGGCTACTGCCTCTGACATTTCTAGGATTTTGTTGTTCTGCTTTTGTTGTTCTTAGGACTTATACACTAGTCAGTTGTTCCCAAACTGAGGTTACTGCCTCCAACATTCTAGAATCTAGTTGTCACTACTTTCTTCTTTCCTAGGATATGTATGCTAGTTAGTTGCTTTTGCTTTCCTAGGACACGTATGCTAGTTAGTTGTTTTTGCTTTTACTTAGGCTGTTAGCTGTGACATTATTGTTTTGTGACATTTTATATCCTAGGTTGCATCGCATGGACTCAGCATGGAGCTTGCTCCGCATCCTAGACTACTCAGGTTTCTTTTCTTTGGTAGAGTTCCACTTTTTTGGCGGAAGCGTGCTTGTATCTAGGCGATCCATCACAGGCCGAGGATCGTGTAGCGGACCTACGGCGGGCCTGTGAGACCAGCCCCTTGGCCTGTTCTCACAGGCCTGTGTTTTATTCGGGGCAGTCCAGTCCAGGCCGGTACCTCTGTTGGTACCAGCCAGTCCAGTCTAGTCCCGTCAGTCCCCTGGGGTATACCCCAACCTTTGTCTGTTTTCGAGCTCATTCATCACTTGCACATTTTGGAGTACGTGCATTGGAGTCTTGCGTGGGGAGCTGCATTGTGCCATCTCGCTCCCCCCTTCTTCCTCCATCTCCATCTCTACCACTAGCGGAGCAGCACACCTGGTGGGTCCGCTACTGGCCACTTGCACAAGCCACAACCGTGGGCTAAAAACACAGCCTTCTCTTATTGTGGCCTTACTCCTCGCTCCACCACTTCGATAGGACAAGCTGCGTGCGGCCAACAAGTAAGTCCATAATCTCTACAATAATCCTCACCCCCCCCCTTCCTCGGTCGTGGGTCATTCTTGCTTGCTTTCAAACTCGCAACCAGGCAGTTCTCGTCCTCGCTACTTCGACCGGCAAGAAGGCAGCCCGACGTCCCAGAGGTCATCTTCAACCCTACTTCACTCTCCTTGGCTTCGACAAGCGGCACGCTGGCCAACAGGTAAGTTTGCAAGCTCAAACTCTCTTTCCTCATCGGATCTCAACCAGATGAGCTTGCTCCGCTAACTGAGCTCGAACATGCACCCTCAATGTCAAAGCTACCAATAAGAATCGGCCCTTCAGGCCCCTTAAAACGAGCACGTGCCCTTGCGGTTCACATACATACTCACTCCGATAAGCCCTTACACAGACGCACAGTCCAGTTAGACGAAGACCACAGTGGGAGGAGCAACAAGTATTATACCGACAAGTACACTGTGACCTCGCCCGTTGCCATGCGGATCTCGACTGGGACCGCAAGGAGCATCTGCGTAGGCGGCCCTCAGGTAAGTCTCCTACCCCACCACTAGCCTTACGCCCCCTCCCGGTATAGGATGGGCAAAATCGGAATGAATCTTCCGCTAGAAAGCGGGTAGATACATCCCCTACTAGGCTACTACACCACGCCTCTTTTGTGTTTCTAACCCGCCTATCCGCTTTACACCTCTTCCGCTACTAAGGTGAGCAAAATTGAATGAATCTTCCACTACAAGATGGACAAGATACATCGTCGACTCCCCAGCCCGTGCCTGCCGTCTTCATCGACCCGCTGAGCAACACATCGGCCAACAGGTGAGTATCCGACCCTGCAGATGGCCTTCCGCTGCTTACATCGATCGTATGAACAAATACCGAATGAATACTACTGCCAAAAAAAACGGCTAGGTGCATCGACATGTTTACTAACTCATTTTTCCTGGGCGCAGACTCTACCCATCGTATCTCAAAACCTACCCACTAATAACCAAAGCTAGCGATTCCGTTGAAACCGCCCTATCAGAGAACCCCGGAATCTCATCTTTCCCCGCCCGTTTTCATCAAAAAACGGGTGAGTTACTCCTTTTTTTCACTTATCATTCCCGCTGTCTGCCATAACTCCGCGCAACTCCATTCTCTATTAACTCTAATTTTATTAATCTGGCATCAAAACTAACGTTACCACTACACTCGCCCTGCCTACAGTCCCCACGCTCTCATGTCGCTCCCAAGTCCCCACGAAGGGAGATAGCCTCGCCAGACCCTCAACCCAACGATTTATTGGCGTCGCTCCCACACTCCAATGTCATCCCAGCTCGATCCGACACCGTGACCAATAGCGCTAGGCCCAAGTCCAGGTCTAGCTTTGACGGACACCTAAATAAACATGACACTGCGCGACGCGCCGACTCACCGAAACGGTTTCAGAAGTTACATTATTGTCGACATCGTTCTCCGTACATACGCACAAGTCACAGGCAAGCACCTTAATCAACGAGACATAATCTTTTTAATCCTAACTTAATCAAAAATACAAATTTGGTCGGCGATCACGCCGACTCTTCAATCATCAACAAATAAAAGGATCACGCGTGCCTCAAATCTTTGCGTCCACACCCTCTCTACTCTAATTCGCCACTAAGTCAACGTAAACCATAGACTAAGTCGCGCCTTGCGCGGTATACTTAGACTTTAAACCATAACTATTTTCTCTGCAAGGACCAGGGCGGATACCCTTGCAAGGGTATTCGATCCGCACCGACAACTTACCGGACCGTATTAAGCGACGTCCCCGTCGCTTCACATAATGAGAAAGCTATAAGATCATCCAAAACTCCAAATGATGACAAGAAAGGAACCAACCCGATTAGCCGACAGACTCAGGTTCGAGACCTCCAACAATCCGTGTTCTCACAACTATATGCTGCCAGGATTTCAACCTGGGTCTCCATTGTCCTGACACTAGGACGCAGGTGTATTGGACCTACGTACTACAGCATAAGTTTCAACGACCCTCATAACCGTCCTCTCCCCTTTGTCCTAGACAAACGCCGACTTCTCGTTAAGTGTCCCTAGTCTCTATCCTGCAAGCAGGGCCATAACCAGGAACGCAGGCCCTAACCGAGACCTCTGAAGGCATTGTAGCCTTCCTCCCGAAAATCCTCACAATCAAACATATATTTATATATGTCCTTAAATCTCAGCTGAGTTTTTTTTGCGGTCTAGTACAGAAATGCTAGGTCTCCATCTTGGCTCACCATAGTCTGGTTGATCGAGTCAGATCTACGGCCTACCACATTGTTATTTTAGCGGTAGTGCCCTCGTAGGTTGCGCCACGATAGGCTTTCTCCTAATAAGCATTCAATCAGGACTCCCAAAAAGATTCACATGACTAGACTCTTATCCCACGTCATTCCGCATGAGTAAAACTCTCCTAGGCGGCCACACCCTTTAAGTCTTTACTCCCTTGGTAAGACATGGGCCCACAACCAGGTTGTTTCGGCCAGCAGTCATCCCTAGGGGTTGCGCCCTAGTGGTGCTACCCTTTACCATGTAGCTTGGTCTTCCTTATAGATTGGTCTTCCTTATATGCGTTAAGATTAACACAAGTGGCTGGACGGTGTGTCGCAACAATACAGGTCTATTGCGGGGCTACTCATAGGCCTGTCACACAAAAAAGGTATTTACCAGCCCTCTGTGGGACAACATAGAGAAAATATGGAAACCTCTCCACATTCACAAAACAGAATCACCACCAGATTCACAAGACCGTGACCTCCCAACTTGATCAGAGTAAGAAAGTCACACATCTCAATGACATCTCTAAAAAATGAACAATTTTGCGACATTCCTGAAAACTCCACCAATGACCAAACAAAACCCGGTCCTTCTCGTCAGTCTTTATCATTCAACATCGACTTTCCATGCCATTAAATCTATTAACCACCTTTCGTACGAAGGAGGTCTTACTCAATAGGTCTCCCAGTCATCCCTCTCTCTCTAGGATGAACTCTCACATGACCTTTCCTTAAAACATTTTCCCTCTCTGAAGATGAGTCTTCCAAACAAAACATAAAACTACCTTCCACTCAAAGGTGTTTTAATCAAAGAACAACTCAAAACTGAGAGGCCAACTTCTGGGCCCTCATCACAACTCAAACTATAAATATTCGGTATGGTAAGCATTCGAGTCTCAAAGACTCATAAATCCTTTAGGATTCTCACACCTCTTCACAAAAACAGATTGTACTTCCCCTCCTTATACCCGGCTCTATCATTCGCCCGAGAGCAAATCGCACGAGTATACCGAAGAGTAGACAGTTCACACCTATTCACATTCACATAATACCAAGCATATGAGATGTTTCTCACACATCTCTCACACAAAATCATCACACATGAGGATAAAATCGCACATGTGAGCGTGAGAGTGATCGTCATCTATAGGAAATAGTCTCATATCTCTCCGCTCAATATACACTCGGAGGTAGGATATCCTGCCCCAAATAATCATAGCAAAAG